GAGAGAGAGAGAGAGAGAGAGAGAGAGAGAGAGAGAGAGAGAGAGAGAGAGAGAGAGAGAGAGGTGCCTCCTTTGTCTCGACAGAATATGACCTCTGTTCTCTACAGAGGAAACTGGTTGGTTCATTTTGTCGTCTTTTTTGGGGGTTGTTGGTGAGACCTTGTCATTGGGACACACTGCCCTTTTCTTCCTTTTGTGGTCTGCAACTTTGCATGAATTGTGACCGCGCTTGTTCATTGTCTGACATATTTTTCTGATTTGGCTGTTGCTGGATGGCACCGTCTCCGACTTCGGTATTGGGTTCTGGGATTGATAATTCACATGGGTGGTGGGTGACTTGAGAGCAGGCCCCTTGAGTGATCGAGGGGTGTATGCAGCAGACGAACAACTTGTCTCACTTCGAATAAACTGTGGTTCTTCAAATCCAGTCACATGGAAAGGGGTAGGTTGGGGTGCGGACAGATTCTTTCTGGGTGGAGTGAGCATGGTTGGCAACGTGCCTTTGCTTAGCCACTCTCATCCTCTTTCATCGTATCGGGAGTTCAGTGCTGATGACGATCCGGACAATTTTTACAAGGTTCCAGTCCGACCTGGGAAATACTACGTGGTAAGACTGTGGTTTGCCACGCTTTGGCAAGATCCCCTTTTGTTTAATGTGATTTTGGGGGATGTTATTGCCGGTTCGGTCGAGCTTGGTGGTGCCCGTGAGACAGTCTCTCTTGTGAATCCACCTGCTGCCGGAATCTCCGATGAGGTCGTGGAGGAGTACAGGCTGTTTGCAGCTGAACCATTCCTTCGCATTGGAGTGAAGACGAGCACCGAACTGAATCGCCGAGGAAGAATCAATGCGATCGAGATTCTACCGATGTTGGATGATCACATCCTGTTATTTCAACAGGGTGGTGAAATTGGACGGGATGTGATTTTGCGCACAGAGGCACGGGTGAATTGTGGGTCAGTGGTTGATGACAATGACAGTAAACATGGTGGCTCTGAATCAGAATGGGATTTGGATGATGGGTACTTCAAGGCAGTTGATGGGAGCTCTGTGATCTCATGTGCTGGTTTGCCGGTCAGTGGGATGAACAGGAGTGGCTGGTTGAAGAGCGAAGTGTTGAAAACTGCAAGAGCCAGTACTTCTAACCTGTTGTACACACTTCCAGTACGGCCGGCATTACAGTACTACATCCAGCTCCATTTTGGGCACATTCTCAGCAGCGAAACAGGGGAGCAGGAGCATGTGTTTGATGTGCATGTGGATGGAAGCCTGCACAGGAAGGGTGTTCACCCTGTGTCAGAACCGGTCGTGTACATCGTTAGGCCCGAACTGTCTTCCAAGGGCAACATATCGATCGAGCTTCAACCGGTAAAGGGAGCTGCATTCATCAGTGGAATTGAAGTGTATGGAGAGATACCAACAATGGGGCGGACTGCGTCTGCAGATGGTAAGTGATTGCAGGTTGTAGTAAACTGTTCTGTCCATTGGTTGCACCTTTTGGTCATTTGCCATTCCTAATTGTCTACGAGTTCGTTTGGTTGTTTCAACTTGTTTGCTTTGATGTGTGTGCATGCGTGTGTGTGTATGTATGCACACATGCTTGTGCTTTGGCAAGAACCAGCTCACCAACACACATACACATGCTTTTTCTTTGGCAAGAACCAGCTCAGGGCAGGGGCAGGAGGGGCTGGGGGCTTGGGTTTGTGGGGGAGGGAGAGGAAGGTTGGAGGCTTGGGTTTGTGGGGGAGGGAGAGGAAGGTTGGAGACAAAGCAAAAGGGACGCAGAGGTACAGAGCTGGAGGGGGGAGAAGAGGGGAGGGGGGAGGCATGTGGAGGGGTGNGGGGGGGGGGGGGAGGCATGTGGAGGGGTGTCAAGGACAGAGGGGAATGGAAAGAGGCTTGCAGGGGGGAAAAGAGAGGGTACAAGAGAGGGGAGGGGGGAGGCATGTGGAGGGGTGTCAAGGACAGAGGGGAATGGAAAGAGGCTTGCAGGGGGGAAAAGAGAGGGTACAAGAGAAAGTCGGCAGGCGGGCTGAAAGACAAAAAGAGGTACAGAGCTGGAGGGGGGAGAACAGGGGGGGGGAGAAGGGAGGAGGGGGGGGGGCAGGCATGTGGAGGGGCGTCAAGGACAGAGGGGAAGGGAAAGGATTGCAGGGGGGAAAAGAGAGGGTGACAGGGAGAAAGTTGGCGGGCGGGCTGAAAGATAGGTGTGGAAAGGTATGATTGGAAGTGAATAGGGATTGGAAGGGTGTCAATGAGGTGCACAAGCAAGCGTGAGTGTGGATGCAGCATTAATCAACACGGCCATATATGACAATAATTTTGGCACTTGCTTCACAGGATTTGTATTCATCATGTCGCCAATGGGAACAATGTTTGAGAAAGCCATGGTGCAGAGTGTGTACTGTGTCGGAGAGCATGGAGAAAGAGAGGGAGGTGGAAACAGAGAGAGCAAGACTCGCAGATGGCCAGCAATGCATAAAGAGAGGGGAGCTGGGAGCAGGGGGGGTGACATGAGAGAGAGAGAGAGAGAGAGAGAGAGAGAGAGAGAGAGAGAGAGAGAGAGAGAGAGAGAGAGGCCAACTGCCATCTCATGCTTCGATGTTGATATATCTGTCTGGGAACAATGGAAGAAAGTAAGTTGGAATCTCCAGTGGGTTGCTGATATTTTGTTGTTTGTATGATCTCTTGTGTAGTTGCCGCATTTGTTGAGCTCCAGAAAGCATTTGCTGATGCATTGAGAGGAGACAGCTTGCAACAGAGGGACCCATGCATCAGCCCATCAGCGCCTGGTTTCATCTGCAGCTATGAACCACGAAGGCGTCCTAGGATATTGGGAATGTAGGTTCATCGTACGCTTCCTCCCTAATTGTTTGCACAAACTTCTATGCAGTTTTTATCTTTCCAATCATTGCTGTTGCCATGTCACACGCTAAAGAGTAGGCTTCACTTGCACCTCTGTAACAGTGCTTCGCAGCCATATGCTTTCTCGCGTGTCACTTTTTGCAGGAACTGTCATCTTTGTATGGAATGTACCAAATGAACAGGACATGTGGGAGTTATATCACATTCCAAATGTAGTTATTATGGCGATGTAAAAGCTATTCATGTATCTCATTCCGTTGGTGCATCCTTTTTTTGCCCATATGCTCTGATCGCTCCAACCCTGAAGAAGAACATCGCTGCCTCCTTAGCTTTGGGGCAGAGTGAGGACGGGGAAGAGAAGGGAGAGAGGAGGGAGGGGAGGGGGAAGGGAAGCTGGGGGGAGAGGGGAGAGCCATCCGATATGTGCTCGCCTTTCTCATTTCCTGCGGCTGTCGTTTTGTGTTCCCCTTTTTTTATCCTTTTCTTCCGTTCTTTTTTCATTTCTTGCGCCTGTTGTTTCGTCCTCCCCCCTGTTCTTTTCTCTCGCGCCTGTTCCCTTTTTTTCCGTTTTCCTGCGGCAATAGAGAAAAGGTTGGCACGCCTGTCCAGGGAAGCAGAGAGGAGAGGTCGGGGGGGGTGGGGGTGGGGGGGCAGGCAGAGGGGGAAATAGGAATTTGAGGGAGAGAGAAAGGTGGAGAAGGGGGAAGGGGAGCTGGGGAAGAGGTGAGGAGTGGAGGAGAAGCAGAGAGTGGAGGCAAGAGGGGAGGATGAAAGGGGCAGGGGGCAGAGGAGGGGGAAGGGGAGGGGGAACAGCGAAGTTGTGTGAAACTGTCTTGGCGGGGGTCAAACCTCGCTTGTTCCTTTCCATTCGGATTTTAATGTTTTATTCAATTGGTTTGTTGCCATTGTTGGTAGTGTCAGACAAGATTCCAGGATTCTTTTTTTTCCTAATTTAGTATGCCCTACGTCTTCAGAAAATGCAACGCCTGTCAATGGTTGGTATGGAATCATTCCTAATACATCCAATATCTGCCTAGGATATGTGGGATATGGAGTGGTTATTCCTTACCCCGCATGCCATCAGTGACTTACTGCAGAGGAGATAGCATGCATCCCTGTTATAGGGGTGTCCTGCTTAGACCGTGGCTATGTGTACTCGGTGTCAGTGAGCCTGTTTTGAGCTCAACTGTTCTGGAAATATATGATTCCTCACACAGCTTGCTGAAGGGCAATTTTTTTTCTTAAAGTTTGATTGGAGAGCTGATGGAGGGGAGGATTAGGGACGAGCTCTGCTCAAATGAAACAGCCAAGTGCCCACTGCACACATGCTTATCACTGGTAGCGTCTTCACTCGAATAGAATGCCCGGTCGTCACAGCTGAATCTGCACTGGAAGTTGCCCCAAATACAACGATAATGACCGGGTGTTCTATTTGGCGAAGAGGACAGGGAATGGATTGAAATAGCTTATAAGAGCTTCTGAACTTTGGCCTTTTTTGGGATCCAAAATTCAAATCCAAATGAGGTGGTTAACAGACATCTGATATTTGTGCATGATGAAAAATTGAAAGAAAAGAAACGCAAAGCTCTAGAATTCACATGAAAGGTTGTCAATGGGCAATGTCGGGCTTTTTTTTTTTTTTTTTTTTTTTTGATCTCTTCTTTTGTGTGTCATCCGTGCGCATCCTTCTCTGTATCGTTCCAATTTTAACGGATGTCCCAAAGGACACTTCCACCTTTTTTTTTTTTTCTTTCTTTCATATTTTGAAAGGTGTTCGGATGTAATGCTCAGGCAAATCTTGTTTAATTTATTTTTCTCTATAACATATCTTTTTTTCAGATTTTTTTGATGACTGGGCTTTTTTTTTTTTTTTTTTTTTTTTTGTGTCCAGACCAAGGTGCCGGTGGCAAACAAGCAGTCATATACCTCTAAAAGAAGCAAGAAAAGTTCCGGGACCGTTAGTGGAGAGATGGTTAATGGAAGGCCCAAAATTTGAGGTTTTTTGCTACACTACACAAGCAATGTCATCGAAAATTTTGCGAACAAACATTGCGGGCTCATAATACAAACATAAAAAAAACAAACAGGCAAATTAAAAAAAACTGAAAAGCACTATAAAATACTATTCGGAGTACCTTTCGGAGTTCACCAGATTTTTTCCCCGAATTCGGTGTTTTTGCCAACTTTTTGTTACTGGTCCAAATACGTTGAAAGACTCGAAACCATAGTTGCAGCGCAGTGCGGTGCGGGCCGGTGCGCACTGCGCTGTGCACTGGAATGACAGCGCATACACTCTGCGCCGTGCGCTGTGCCCAGTGCACAGTGTGGTCCGCTGTGCACGGTGCGCGCGCTGAGGGAGGTGCGCCCTGTGAGCAATTAAAAAAAAAAAAAGACAGGCCCAGAGAGAGAGGGAGAGAGAGAGAGAGAGAGAGAGAGAGAGAGAGACAACAAAGGGTCCCCTTCACGTCAATTCGAGGGGCCCTGCAGGTACCTCGAATGGCTCCTAGAATACATGTGGAGCCATTGAGGGCCACTGCTTCAATGAGAAGGATGGCCTCGTCATGTGTGGGAGAGATGTGGGCAGACCACCAATATATGCTGTAGATTCGAGTTCAGGTCTGTAGCCCGGCAGTTATGGGTCACCAATTCAGCTAGACCCTGTTCGTGTCTCCATGTGATTCTCAGGGCCTCCCTCCACCACTCACCAAATGTATATAATAATATTAGTAGAATGAATCTTCTGCTAAAACATGGAACCATACACCGCCATATGCTATGTCTTTTGTTCATTTGGTGAGTAGCGGAGCAGGCCCCACTGGACGTATTTGTAAGAAAACAAAAACAAAAAAACGAGAGAGCCACGGGCATCTTCATCCTATAACCCATAACTGCCGACATGCAGACCTGAACGCCAATCTTCAGCATATATTGGTGGTCGGCTGGCCATGGAAAACACTTGTGACTTCTGCGTAGTTTCGTGGGGCAGGTTGTTATTAGGCGACTATGTGTGGGATTTGCAAAAGGAAGTGGGAAGGACAGTTTTCATACCCCACCTAAAACAAAAGTTGGAATGAGCCCTGTTTTGTGCTTCGCCATTCTGAAACTTTTGGGGGAAGGGCCTGCGGAAATTGAAATTTCGTCAGCCCTTACCAAAAAGGAAAGTTCGGGCCGGGGGCGCGGCCGGTTTCCGAGCTCGCGCAGTGAGTTTAACATTTTTGCCGAGTTGGGGGCCCTAAGAAATTACAAGACCCTTACTTCTTTTTGTCTTTTTTTTGGACCTAATTTTTCCAGTGTGCTGTGTGGTGCGCTGCATGCGGTGCGCAATTCGTGCGCAAATCCGCGCACCGAGGTGCACCGCAACTATGCTCGAAACTGAATACATATGGTACAGATCACAGGAAAAAAAAGAAACAAGAAAAAAGCAAAAATGCAGGGAAATATGGTAGTTTCGGTGAAAAGTTTGCCGAAAATGACACCACCTATTAACCATTAGAGTGGGACAGAGGGCATCTTACTGTTTGTGAAATGCTAATGTGGATGATTCTGATGTTCACCTGAGTTGTATAACAAAATCCGTTCTCTCTGCCTGGCAGCAATTTTACAGGTTCATGGCTGTTCGGTTCCATTCCCCCAGCAATAGGACAACTGCACAATGCGGAGCAAATGTGAGTGAATGTTTTCTGCTTCTTCTTTGAAGAAATTCCCTTAACCTGGGTGACACCCTTTTGTTTGCCGTCTGTTTTTATTAAAATAAATAAATGTAGATAATCTGTTTGAACATTGACGTTATATATGTTTTTGGGCTACTGGGTGCTAGGGTCCGTTAGCGCATCAAATGGTTACTTCAGCACTGTGGATTGCATATAGTGCTGGAAAAGTTAAAAATTAGGTCTCAAGTTCTCAACCATACATATCACTCTTCGATTCTAGCGTATGGCGAGCGGGACTCGAACCCACAAGGCGCAAAGCGCCGCTACAAAGCTTTTGTGTCGGCTTTGTTATCCTTTACACCCGCCCCCACCCCCTCCCTCCCCTTTCTCTCTCTCTCTTTCTCAACGGTCTCATCAAATTGTTGTGTTACGTTTTTTGAAGGTGTGGTTGTTGACGTGTTGTCCAATCACAGCCTTTGTGAGTGCTGATGAGTCGTTCCATCACAACCTTCCCGCCTCGGCCCTTGGGCTGTTTAATTTGTAGATAAGGGGAATGATGCCCATCCAAATCAAACCAATTGAAAGCAACTGAAGTCGAGCCCAAATGAACCCCCGAATGAGCCGAAATGATCCCAAAGGTTTGATTCTAAACGAGTTGAAATGAGGCCAAAGGAGCCCAAATATGCTGAAAAGAGCTCTCAAATGAGCCCAGGTGAGCCCAAAAGAGCCCAAAATGAAATCATATGAAGCTGAACGAAGCTCTAGGTTGTATGGAAAATGAAATCAATCCAGAAACAGAATTTAGCATTTCATTACCCTATTCTGCCGGGATTGAAAAGAAGAAAAAAGAAAAAAATTCCTGCCCAGCAACCACTGGGTGTCTGCACTCAGTCTGAAATTATATCTTTTGAATTTGATGACGGTGCCCCTTGGGCGCTCTGGGGGGTAAGAACATGGTTTAAAAGAATTTGAATGTTATATGGACGGGTTGGGCATAGTTCAATTTGTCTATTCTGTTTTGTAATTTCAATCGAATAGATGAGACCTGGCCACCTGTGCAACCTGTGCTTTCTTCACTGCGACGGGTTTGCAGGCCCAGAGTCCTTCCTGGCGATGCTGCCGCATATAGTCGTGGTACGCTGGTGCAGACATGCAGCGTTTCCCTTTGCAGACACTTTCATGCACGTAAAATGGTCACATGCCAGGACGTGCCATATCTGGTGCCTGGCACTGCTTGCACTGTTCGTGTATCATAGGTAACCTTGCGTGCCCGAACCATTGCCGAGTCCTTGCTGCTGCCGAGTCCGTGCGATGCTGCCATATGTCGTTGAAGCACGCTGGTGCAGACATGCACTGCTTGCAAGATTCGTCTTTAGCTGCCCCCTTCCCATACCCTCTCATCCATGTGACCATCTTGCCGACCATATCTGGTGCCTGCGCTGTTTGTGTACCACAGGTAACTCTGGTGGTTGCTGCCCTGAAGCACTGCTGCCGCAGAACCGTATGTAATTGTCAGTTGTTGAAGATGAAAAAATGTAGTTGAACCCAGTGTCTAGGCATTGCTTCCTTCAAGGACCAGTACATTCGTGCCTCTTTTGGATGACGTGGATTCCCACTATGTGCGCCAAGCTTTGCTGAAAAGCCGGTATGGCGTTTTTGTTTTGGTTGTGGTTGGCGGTGGTCGAGTTGAGGTGCCAAAGCTTCATCAAAGATAATGTGGCTGTCACTCACACATACCACGGGTCGAGTTGAGGTGCCAAAGCCTGATCATTTTCATCAAAGATAATGTGGCTGTCACTCACACATACCACGTAATCCAGATCACGTCCCTGTTGCAAGCTTGACCTCGACAGGTTTTAGGAAGTCCTGCAGGGTGCAGCCTGCGAATTGGCTTTGGGGGAGGTAATCCCGTGTCGAGCCGTTACTGACCACCATTTTAACCATCCAGAATCGTGTTGGTGACGGTGCTCAGCAAGGTGACCTGCTGTTCCTTTCTGATCTTCCCGTGGCTCCTCTGCTTTCATAGCCCTCTTGACTGCATGCTGTGTGTGCACCATCCTTTCCGGTCTGCTGTGTGCTGCATAGTCTTCAGGCGGTAGGACAATGCAGGAGAACCCACTGTCTACGGTCACTCCTCATCTTCTTCGGTGTTGGTGTCACTCCTACGGTCTTCTACGGTCAGCTTCTCCCTCCAAGTGTGCGCAGATTTGTTGGCATCCAGTGTGTGCGTGGACCCATTGGGCGGGAACTTGTGGAATCTTTGCTGAGCCTTTGGATGTGTGTGAGATCTGTGGCCATGGCTGACTCCTGGTGTCTTTGACACGTTGACTACTATGCCCGACTTGGCCCTGATTGTTGACTTTCCTAAGGTCTGATTTGACTCTACAGGCACATGGTGCCTCGTGTCGACCCTTGACCTTCGGCCTATGGACCCAAAGACTTTCGGTGCCTTTTCAGAGGCCGTGGACGTGACTTTTGGCCCCAGAACTTGTGTGAAGTTGAACTTGGTTTTTTGCATGCAGATAAGTGCAAACATAATCGAGTTCCCCTCTAGGCCTATGATGCCTGCAGATCTGGACAAAAGTCTTCGATCAGGTGGTCGTGGGATCCCAATATGCCTCTTGAGGCTTTATCCTGTTTGGTGAGGGTGGCATACCTCTCCCTTTAGCCTCTGCGAAAATGCAGACCTATTGGTGGTCTTCACAGATTTTGTCATCTCCACCTTCCTCTTGCAGCAGCTCAGCGCTCACCCATTTCATCCCTGCATGGCAAGGTGGGGATACAATAATTCGGTCGGACAGCGATCTGTCCATGTTAGTAGAACTAAAAATGAATCTAATCGAGGTCCTTCCCCACTCTATAATAACTCAGCTGGCCAGTGATCTCTCCGTGTCTTCCGTGCGCTCTCCCCTGAACTGACGATTTATCCAGCTCGGGCTGGCTGCTTACCATCTGCCTTGGCAGAAGTCCCTGGTCTCTGCGACGGGCTTGATGGGTTAGGAGGAGCCAGCTGGTGAGGCGATCTTCAAGACTGCATTGGTCAAATCCTTCATGTGACTGATCAGCTGCACTGCAGCCACAGTGCAGTGATCTTGTTGTGTTGTGTGGACCCCTGACATTCCATTTCTTGAAGCTTGTCCTCCTGCGGAGTAATCGCCTTGGCCAAGACCTTTTCTTTTTTTCTTTTTTAATCATCTGGATTCGAACGCAGGTCTGTATTTCAATAGTTCATGGGTGTACCCACTTACTCCTCCAATTCCTGTTTTCTTACCTGCCAACTGTGCTTCGGTTGGTTTCTTCTTCGTGGCCATTTTCTTCCGCACCTCATGTGCCGCCTGCAACCCCTTGGACTTGAAATGCGCTTCAGCTATAGGATAGGCTATGAATAGCCTCTTGGCACTGGCTCCCTGTATTGCACGGGTATCCCCCAACCACTATCTTGCTCTTCTCAATGGGGGGCGTTAACCGCTGCAAAAAGCCTTTTGCTCATGCAGCACTTGTGTGGGTCTGGCATGGCAGCGTCTCATTGTTCGTGTGGCACTGACGTGATGTACCATGTGTGGGCCATGTGGCTGATACCAGTGTAAGAATCGTGAGGAACTTGATGAATTTCAGAATCACACGTCCTCCCTGGACTAATTCGTACTGTTCATTGAAACAAATTCACTCTTGATTCGAAGTCGATAACTGCTCCTTCGATCTGAAGTACTCCACGAAGGCTTCCCAAAGCTTGCACATCTGAATGCCCTGGCACACACTCCACCATGCCGCAGACAAAGCTACAATTGATTGATTAACTTCAGAGGTTCCAGTGGCTTTAACTGTTCCCACTTCTTCCCTCCATTGACGGGCAGTCGGAAATATGCTTCCCCATTCATTGCCAAGAGAGAGAGGGTTAATGGAAGACCCAAAATTCGGTTTTTTCACCGCATCACCACAAGCAAGTCATTGAAATTTTGTGAACAAACAATGCAGGCTCAAAAAAAAAAACAAAAAAAAAAAAACAGGCAAAATAAAGTGAAAATTGTGAAATAGAAAAACTCAAAAGCACTATAAAACCTTATTTGGAGTAGTTTTGGGAGTTCGCCAATTTTTTCCTGAATTCGGTGTTTTTGCCAACCTTTTCTTCACTGGTCCAAATATGTCGAAACTGAATACAGATAAATCATATATATCCTCTTCTCCCTCTCTGCCTACGGTTTACCGGGCAGCTCTGTTTGACGATATATACTCTAAGGCACATACATATCACACACACACAAAAACAAAAAGAAAAAAAAAGCAAAAATTCAGGAAAATATGGCAGTTTTGGTGAAAAATTCGCCGAAAATGACACCGCCTTTTAACCATTAGTGTGCTAAGAACAGAGCGTCAAGAAGTGAAGTCGTTGACTTTTCCTGATGTAACGAGCGGGTGCCTCGCAGTGGGAAAAAAAACTAACTGGACCAGAAAAAGGAGGGCTGAATGCCTTGGCCCATTGATTACCTGGTCTACAAGCCTGGGTTCAAAATCCTACGGCAAAATCGACTCCCATAAAGTTATACCTGTGTACCAACAGGCTTCCATAAAGTTCCATGCTAAATGGTTCGAACTCAGCTGGGTATGTATGGACCCTGCATTGTGTGTTTCCTTGTCTGTGGGAAACACATGACACCGAGATATGCAATGGTTGTTTCTTTGCGGGCACTCATACAGGAAGTACGTTGTGGAGGGAGGGGCATCACATCAAATGTCTCACCATGAGACACCGGCCTCATTTAGGTGTATTAGGTGTTGTGTTGTCGCAAAGGAAATAAATACAGTGTCTATGTATCGGAGTTCCAAATTGTGCGTTTAATGTTATGTCTATGGCTGTGATGCAAATTTTGCTTCTCACACGAAAATTTTCTCAACTGTGCCGTGTTTCTCTGTATCTACATCTACAACACTATAATAACTGCTAAACGTCATATCGCACGGCCCGAATCGCAGGCCGGTAACCACCACGGATGGTGCGGATCGCAGGCCGATCAGAA